TTGTTTCTTTATTTCTAAAAGTGACCATTTTGGATGAGAGAGTGGAGTGCTAACTTACCAGCTGGCTTTATTAGACAGAGATACCTGCTGATTACGGCTCAGTCGATTCAAATCAGTTTATTTATATAGCATTTAAACGTATAAGACATAAAAACACTGCACAGCAAGTAAAACAAACACAGGATGACAAATTGAAGAAAAATGAATACAATTACAGGCTGAAAATAATACTACAAAATAAAAAAATAATAAAAAGGATTAATAAAAAAACAGTCAAAGTGGCCGTGCCCCTAATTAACAAACTTTAAACAGGTGAATTAAAGAATATTCTCCTCCATTCTTTGGTTTCTCATATAAACATGTTTAGTTTTGCTGTAAAGTTGGACTCTATGGGTTCTGGGTTTGGTGCATTTAACCGATAAAGATTTCTGAAAGCAAAGAAACTGAATGAAAACCCAGTTGCTGGTTTGCAACTGAGAAAATAGTTGACGTGCGCAAATAGTGAAGTAGACTGTAAGTAACCCTGAAAACCAGTCAGGTTAAAGGAATTACATGGTGGAGATAGTTATCGACATGGTTTAAATGCTGTTTTGTTTCCAGTAAGAATTAAAAGCAACTACAACTGTGACCATCTGTGGAGAAGTTAACTTCAGAGTTAGACTGTTTAAATTTGCTTCCTGTTTTTTGGTAGTGACTTTCTTTGGGCATTTTTTCCTCTTTTCTTTGCCTGTGTTTTTCTTTCTTTGTGATTGTGTGCCCCGTCTTCATTAGTTTTACCTGCATCCAATCAGTTCTCTGATTGTTTCTCGGTCACTTTGTATTCTTTGCCTGTTTGTTCCTTAATTCTTCAACCTCCTTGTGGTTGTTCAACTGCTTCCGTTTTGTATCATGAAGTAAGTTTTTGGGTTAAAGTCACTGATTGTTCATGTTGTCTGTGAAGGTTCTCAGTCATCCAGGTCATCGTAGTCAAAGGAGCTTGCAAAGAAAAGCGTCTGGACCTCTTTAAGTTACTTGAAGACGTTTCACCTCTCATCCGAGAAGCTTCTTCAGTTCTAAGGTCAAATGGTGGAGAGTCCCAGATATAAACCT